TTAGTGTCCATTTCTTGAAGGCAATTCCAATTGTGCCATTCCCACCAAGCACACACACAAATGACACTGTCCAAAGCCTGAGCTGCAAATCACAGAATTTAGGAACAGCTGGATATTCTGGTTAAGGAAGAGATGGACGCTTCCCTACCCAGGGAGACAATCTATGGCACTGGCTGCCGGGCATGGGTAAAACGGAATTTAACTAAACTAAAGCACACACGTTGAGAACTACAATTTTGCAAAACAAATTAGCGGCAAGATTTGCCAAATTTAACTGGCTAAAAAATATTTGGCAATTTTTTTTTTTTGGCAAAAACAGAAACAAAAATAAAATTGGTAAAATTACTTCCCAACAATATTTTGGGAATTTCTAATGGGAGAGACTTGGGGAGCAGCCGCTGACTTAAGGGGATCCCGTTGCTCGCATGCCGATGTCTCCTGTAATCCTGCCTCACGCTGCCACAGACTTTCATTTCCTCCTCAGAGATTCCCGAAAAACTGCTCCTAAGCATTCAAAGCTCTTCCAACCCACATTGGAGCCCGGGATCCAGCTCATTCCAGGATCCTTCCCTGACTTACACTGGTGGGAAAAGTTGCCTAAGGCAGGTGGTCTCCCACCACAACAATCTTTTAAATCTCCTTACCTTTCCCAAAGAGCCGCTTTCGTACCGCTTTGGCGGGAGGGGGATCCAGACAGATGGCCAGTCTTTTCACGTTTGGAAAGGATGAAAAATGCTACAGGGGGGGAAAAAAATCCCAGTGATCTTTTTTTCTTATTCTGCTGCTCGGCGCAGAAGGGCTCCCAACCTCATTGGCCCTGGGAGATCCACCACGTGGCATGGGATGAAGGGCACGTGACCTATTTTCTCCCAAATCCCTGTGTTTGCTGGAAAGGGGGATGTACCCACTGCTGATGTTCTTCTCATTTCATGGGCTTTGATTGATTTATTTATTTTTATTATTTTTTTTTAAGGCCACTGAGCAAATCTGGATGCCTCAAGGCGATGAGAGTGAACCAGCCAACGCTTCCAACATGGAGGAGAAAGGATCTCAGCATGAGATGAGCTCCAGTGCGCTGCCCGTATGCAGAGGGAAATTTGGGCATGTTTTATAGGGTGTCTGCACACCCAGTGCAGGGCCAGAGCCTCTGGGGGGGACACAAGGGTTATTCTAAACCCTCCATCTCAGAGGCAGCAGCACAGTGGGAAGGACCAGGCTGAAGCCCTGCCTGCACGTCCCAGAGTTCAGTTGGCTCCCTGCGGGAAGGGGGGTGTGTTACAACTGCTCCATCACCCAAACCAGATGATCTCGTGCCCTGATGTTGCTCCTGACCCCTCCTCAGCTGTTCCAATCCTCTGCTGCCCTCCTGGCTGACGCACCAAACAACTGCTCCAAGAGATGACAATCTCCTCCTCTGGAGACTGCTGGAGCAGCTTTCTGGCAAGCTGGACCAAGAGCAGTGGGGGGAACATGGCACACTCCGGGTGGGCACCACCTACTCCCCCCAGCCCATGGCCACGCCAGGCCCAAAGGCTGTTTCAGTGTCCCCCTGCACTCACCCAGCCCAAAATGCAGCACAGTTCTGGGGTTCCCAAAAAGGTCCCTGAGACCCTGTGGAGCAAGGAAATCCAAGCCACTGCTCCCAGTATCTGATTTTGACTGGTGCTGGGGGTGTCCCCCTGTCCCAGCTCTGAGCCACCACATCCCAGCTGGCCATGGTTCCCTCAGTAGCCAGGGCAGGTACCAGCCCTTCAGTGTCCGGACATTCAGTTTGGGGAAGGCAAAAATATTTTTTTTAAGTCCTCAGACATCCTCATGTTTTGTCCATCAAAGCTCAAGCCCATTGGTCACACCAGTTGGAAGGTGCATTTTTCTGGCAACTCAAGTCTCCACCTGGCTGTGCCAACCCTTGGCTGTGCCATCTTTCCATGCCAGGGATTTACCTGAAAGCTCTGGCAAAATCTATCTTGGGCATCTTCCCTTGGATGTCACTTCTGCAGAGCAGCTGTCCCCAGCCACCCCATCAACCAAGGGCTCAAGTCCTTCTTATGCAGAGGTGGCACCTAAGGCTCCTTGGAGGAGCAGCTGAGCACGCCACCTCCAGCCCTTCTTGGCATCATCACCATATCCCAAATGCTGGTTCTTCCTTGCAGATGTTCCCCCTCCATGGCTCTGCACAGGGACGGGAAGCATCAGGAGCACAGCCCCTAATTCCAGATTCTTCCTGTGGCAAGACTGCTTCACCACGCTGTTCCCAAAACCTCAAGTAGAGCCATAAAAGGCCCCAAACAGTGTAGAAAAGTGCAGGGTCTCACCCAAATCCTCTCTTCCTTGGAGGGTCACACTCCAGCCAGATCATGGGGCACTCAATTCCAACAAATACACATTAGGGGAGAAACTTTCCACACTAAAATTTTCAAATGCAAACTATGGCCACAGCCCAAAGCACCCAGCTTGCCGCTTGCCCTTCTCATGTTTTCTGATGGCCACAGAGAAGAAACCTGAGCACCCTGGGACAGTGGAAGGTGTCCCTGCCCACGGCATGACCTCTAAGGTCCCTTCCAACCCAAAGCATTCCACGGTTCTGTGATTCCATGAACCCCCGCCCCACCTTTCAGCCTCCTCCTCCTTCCCCAGTGAAGCTAAAGCTGGCTCCCCAGTAATCTTCCCAATAATTATATAATAGAGAGGCAGGCAAATAAATCATTTCAGCCCGCTGTGCCGACAGAAAGCAAGCTGGATTAAAAGATCAGAACAAGCAATACTTAGATTAAAATGGTTTGTTATTTTCAGCTGTGGGAAAAAAATCCATGGCTAAAGCACAGAAGACGTGAAGTGAAGGTGCATCATCTTCTTTCCCCCCAAACCCCGACCTTTTCACGTATTAGCCAAGACAAGTTCTAAGTTCCCAACCTCAAAACAGGTTTTGCTTCCCAATAGGTAAAAAAATACATTTTGTCAGCTCAAATGACATTTTAGCTAAAGACTGAGAGATGCTTCAAAGTGTATTTTGCTCACGTGAAGCCATCAGAGCCCTTAAATCGGGAGAACCAGAGCATGACTCGACAGATAACGTCACTGCCTATGAAAAATATGGCTCCTGGCACGACGGGCATCAACCCCTTGGCCTTGTCCCGTGCCTCCCCACACCCCCGAGCAGATGGCAGGCAGATGCCAGGCTTACCAGCAGTGCAGAGGTGGCAGTGGCAGCTGGCAGAAGCCCATTAGACAGTGGGACAGCTCTCTACAGGGACCTATATGTTGTCCCCCTGGCCCCCAGCAAGGTCGGCGGCCCAGAGTGCTACGCTCTGACTAATGGCTTTGGAAAGGCGTGAAGGGGAGGCAGGAACAAAAGGGGGAGAGAGGGAGCTGGCGCTGGGGGCCGAGCTCTCCGCAGGGCATGGCACTCATCGGCACAGTTTGGATCGATGGGTGAGCTCTGCTTGTTCACCTTCAAGTTCAGATTGAGCAGAAGGGTCAAACTGGGAAATGGCTTGGCACTGGCGGGACGTCACCATCAGCACCCTGCAGCCTCGTGTCACAGCTGTTTGCCTTGCTGGAATGGACAGATCCCACTCCACAGCATCTCCAGAATCAGCATTCCCACCTGAGCACATTGCTAACTGCATAGAATCTCCATTTTCCAGCATCAGCAGTGATCACTCATCCCATCACCTGGACGGGAGGTGGAGCAGCAGTTTTTCCAGCGTAATGTCCCAGAATATCCTGAGTTGGAAGGGATCCACAAGGATCATCGAGTCCAACTCCTGGACACAGGACAATGGCCACAATCCCACCTTGTGCTCTTCCATGTGTTTCTCCCAGCTGTAGTTTTTCTTTAAAAATGTCACGATACCACACACACAGGATCAGCCTTGAATTCCGAGGATGGAATCCCACAGGGCAAGAGGTCCAAGACACAGCCTTGGGGAGGACTTGGACAGAGACAGGCACCAGGCTCCTCTCCCTGCTGTGGATGTGGGAGAGGGGCTGGGACACACTCCTGGGAGAAGAGATGGGATGGTGGACAGGGAGCATGAGAAGGCAGAAAAATTATGTCAGAGACCTTCCCCGAGGGAGATGAGAGCTATGAGATGTCGTGATATTCACCCAAATTTAGCCTTATATTGCAGGAAAGTGTATTCACTAAAGACAGAGAATAAAACACACTTGCTGGACAGGTGATGGCAGAAACCTCAGACCAGACATAATCAGTACCCACCACATCACCAGAGACCATGGATAAACCTCCTTACAGGTGTTTTTGGCAAGTTCTATCCTCGCTGCACCTTAGTGGGTCACCTGCAGCTCCTCTGGGAAACCTTCATCCCCCTATCCAAAACACACCCTCATGTTGCAGGTGCAGGCAGTTTGCTCTGGCCGCTCTCTCCCAACGTTTTCTGTTGCAGAAAACAGGGACAAGTGACACTCAGAAAAGGAATGGGAGAAAAGAGAAATGGCTCTGTCTGTCACTACGTTTCTGCTTTATGGAGCTGTCTTCTCCCTTGGAGACACACATCCTCCTCTCCACTAATGGAAAATGTTGCCCCGCCATCCATTCGTGCCAGTCAGTGCCTGGGACAACACGATGGCCTGGGGCCACTCCAGATCTATTTTAGTCACAAAAGCAGAGCGGCTGATGAAAATCACCCCGTCTCTGCACTTCCCAGCTTAGCTCTTTCGCTGGTTTTAATGGAATGGCCAGCCTGGCGGAAAGCAGGTAGCGAGGGCAGAGAGAGTGGGATGGGAGATCCACACAGATGCAGGAGAGAGGCCTCAGCACCCTCCCTGCAGGTATTTCACAGCCTAAGGGACCTGCAAAGACCCCTTCCTCCCAGGATGTGCCCAGAGAAGCTGTGGCTGCCCCATCCCTGGAAATGTTCTAGGGCAGGTTGGAGGGGGCCTGTGGAAGGTGCCCCCAAGGAACAAGATGAGCTTTAAGGCCCCTTCCAATCTGAATCATTCTGGGATTGTATGACTTGGAAAGGACCTTACCTTACCCTACAGGATGGCCTTGAGCTCCAGAGTGATTCCTGGGAGGGTCTGGCTGCACCAGAAAAGGGCATGCTGAGCACGGGGGGGGAGCCCAGCAGTCCACGGCACGAGCCTGCAGACCAGGACATGGCAGAGGTTAAGGCACGGCACAGAGGAAAGACCAAACCTAATTAATGTGAACTTCAGAGAGAAATCAGACACAGGCTGGGAGTCAGGGGATAATGATGAAGAGCATCACCTCCAGGTTGTGTTTGGGATAGGCAAGTAGAACTTATATTTTTCTCTACATTGCAAACAGGTTTGGGCAGATCCTCAGCATCCACTAACCATGGCAAATCATCCTGTGGAGGAGGGGATCCCTGGGATGCCAGAGAGTCTCCCTGGCGACCACAGCCCAGCAGTCCTCCTCTGTGGTCACCTGCCTGTGGTTGTGCCCAGCTGTGGAGTCAGGAGCCTGCTTCCTGCAAAAATCCAACAGTGGTGGAAAGAACCCAGCACGTTTCAGCGCCATGGGTGGCGGGTGCCAGCTGGATTTTTGCTGCTGCTCCCAATAAGTTAACTGGGGCGTGCACGTCAATACAATCAATGGAGCAGCCTCAGCCGCTAATAAGCCGAGTGCCAGAGGGCAGGAAAACCTTTCCCACCGCCCAGAATATTCCCTGGGCAGCAGGATGTGTGAGCTGCAGACCCCTTGCTTGGACTTGATGCTGCTCTTAGTGTGCTGGAGCACCTTGTGTGTTAAGAGGGAAAACCCTCCTCTGCCTGGTGACTCGGCAACCTCTGTGCTCATCCCCAGTGACTTGGGCACTTCCCTACCGTGGGAAGGAATCTGTCAGTGCGGGGAGGGCCCATGGGACCTCCTGAGGTCAGTCTTCAGTGCTGCTGATGCTCACAGCAGCATCAGCACTAAGGTCACAGCCCAGGGTGACCCAGGTTGCCCAGAGTTTTATCCCTTTGGGGCTGAAAACCTCCAAGGATGGAGCATACACAGCCTCTCTCAGCAACCAGCTGTCCTCAGAATTCATGTTTTTTCTCTCAATGGTTCTCCCCATGTCCCCCAAGGTAGTGGCTACATCCCCAGCTGGTGTCACCTGCAGGCAGCATAGGTCCCAGGATGGACGCTGAGGGACTTCCCTGCTCTACACTGAGCCTACACAAGCCAGCAACTAAATCCCAGTAACTGCTACAATTGCAACATCCAGTCCCATAGGCTCTGGCCAAAGCTAAAAAACTGGAAAGGATGGAAACCCCAAACTGTGACTCACCGTTGGAGGACCCGCAGGGATAGGTCAGGGATCCTGTGGAGCTGATGGTCAGCAGTGCAGGAGGCAGGGAGGGATCTGGAAGACAGCACATCTCAGCACCCTGAGGAGCTCAGGCAGCCCCAGCACCCCCACCCGGAACCCACAGAGCATCCTCCCTGCCCTGCTGCCCTGGCCGAGGGCAGCACAGGGAACAAGGAATCCCAGAGACAAATCAGAGGAGTCCTTGGTAATTGTTTTATTCCAATGAGTACCAATTGCTGGTCACTGATTCCAGGACTGATAGTAAGAAGAGAGAATCCTCATCATGGCACCAGTCTGATCAGCATACCCATGAAAAGGGAGCTCAGGCAAGGATGTAGGGATGCTGGAAGGACAAGGGGTTGCAAGGAAACCTTCTTCCCAGGGCCATTGTGGGCACAAATCATCAGCCCACACCCCACAAATCCATGGGGGAAGAGACTTGCACTCATCTTCCAGGTCCTAGGTTTGAGTTTATCTCAAGGCAAGGCTTAGCATCCAGGGAATGCAGCATTAAGGAATTTGTTAGCAGTTTTCTTAATAAAAATGGGTCCATGTCTCAGCAGCTCTGCCCCTTGTTATGTCCCACCCTTTCCACCCACCTAGCTGCAGGTGAGCTGGTGGTACTTCCATGTGAGAGCAGCTCCAGTGCCTGGTCCCACAGGGCTGTGAATACTCCCTGTGAATACTGCCCTATCCTACCATCCCAAATACCATATCCCCTACTCTGTACCACTCCCCTTTCCCAAAAATACCAAAGCCTGCTGTGACACCCATCCTGCCTCTCCTGCAAACTCAGGACCTCGGCTCCCCCTCCCTAGTGAGTACCTGGCTCTTAGTGACCATCAGGAACCTTCCTCGGGATGTTTGGAACCGTGGGGCACCTGTGGGAGGTCCAAGCTCTGCAGAGAGCGTGGAGAACTTGGAGAGGTCCTACGGCTTTGCTGTGACCCCCCAGGGAAAATTCAAGGTATTTTGGAAGACGTGTTGTGCAGTGGTCAGGGACAGATGGGATGGGAATGTGGATGGAATGGCTGGGATGGGATGAGATGGGATGGTATAGGGATGAGACAAGATGTGATGGGATTAGATGGATGGGATGAGGCAGGATAAGATGGGATGGAATGAGATCTGAATGGAGACGGGATGTTCTCTCACCATACCACCAAACCCTGATGTATAGTATACCACACAGACAGTAATATCAGTGAGACGGCTCCACCTCCACTGCCCCCCAGGCTGCCAGCACCCTTTACGCTGGAAGGAACTCCCCTTCCCTCCACTGGGGATGCAGGAGCCCCTGCATGGCCGAGATCCGCTTTGTTCCGAGGTTCTGGGCGCTGCCGCTGCCTGCGCAGGGAGAGAGGGATCCTCCCCTGACCTGTGTTCCCATCATCCACCTGCCCGGGTGTTCCACGCAGACAGAGGCAATGATTTTAATGTCCCAGTGAACAAGCTGTCGGGATGCATCAGCCTCAAAGGGCTGCCTTCAAAGCTGCCTTCTCCTCCCAGGCACTGCCTGGGTGAGGAAAACCAATTCCAGCACACACACACACACACACACACGCACACACACACACAGTGTCACCGGTGCCTGTGATTTTTCAGCCTTTTAACTAAAAATCCTTGCGAACTCTGCTCGTGAGGAGGGGGAGGCAGCGAGCCCGGGGTGGGGTCGAGGGGAGGAGCCGCTGGGCTGGCAGAGGGGCAGCCCCACAGGCAAAGCCGGGTGATTCGATGGGACCCGAGCGCTGCAGAGCCGTCAGGACCCCAGGCAGGGATGAGCTGAGAAAAGCCATGAACAGAGCTGACATCTGCCCCCTGGGCGGGTACCTAATGAGCAGAGACATTGTCCATTTGCGGAGACGAAGGAAAGTTAAAAGATTTCCAAGCTGACACCTGGCAGCCTCCATCGGCGTTCCTGACCAAACAGCAGGGGAAGGGGAAGGGGAAGGGCGCTGGGGGGCTGGGACCGGTCAGCTCCGGGTTCCGCAGGGGTGGGAGAGCCGGATGGCCGCGGGGTTGACATCTCATCAGCTCATCCGTGCTGCCCAAATCTCCCCTGTTTGTCATTTCTGACACCTTAGAACATAAACTGGTGCTTTCTGGGAGCTGAGGAAGGTCTAGCAGGGTCCCACATTCAGCCCCATACCTCAGGAAAAGGCAGCAGCATGGCAGGGAGCACATTCCTGGGTCCAGCAGCACACAAGAGCTGCTCTAGGCTGGGATCTGGGCACAGGCAAAGGCTCCTGGTCTCCACATCCTGGGAGTAGGATGGCACTCAGCAATGCCCCAGCCCCCAGCGTCAGCCAGCAGCCCCCCCATGGTTCCACAAACCTAGTTCCGTCAGTCCCTATAAATCCAGCCTCTCTAAGTCCACTTGGCACAAGCTCTTCCCTAACTCACCTACCTCCAGCCTCTTCCCTACCCACCACCTACTGGTGATGAGACAGGAGCGATGGAGCAGGAGAGGGGAGAGCCCTGTATCACCCCTATCACCTCCCAGCTTTCCCCTCGGGAAAACCTGGATCTAAAGGTACTTGTGAGCCACCAAACACCCCCACTCCCCCCCAAATGCCACAGGGAGATGCTCTTCTCCCCACCTGCCTTGCTTGCTTTCCTAAAGACCAAGTGGATTTACAGGAAAATCATCTCCCTGCAACTATCCTGGCTGAAAGGGGAGATCCTGGAGCATCCTCAAGCCTTTCCACCAGCCTAAAAAGCAGCTTAAAACCACTGACATTACTCCACACGGTTTTCACCAGCTCCATCAATAAACAGTCTTGGGTCTTAACCCCATTACAAGCATGACTTTCACCTGCCTGGCTCCAGGGATTTTTGCTCCTTTCCAACAAACACAGCCAGAACCACCCAAAAGAAGGGTGCAGCCCTTTCCCTGGGATGCCTGGGAGTGCAAACAGCAGCTGGGCTCAGACTGCTCCTCTCTGGCACCCGCTGACCTGCTGGGCTCGAGCAGATGGAGCAGCCACAAATCCCCCTGTAAGCCAGGAAGGGACTAATCTCCTAGAGTACAAATCGGTTGGCAAGGGGGGAAGCTCAACATTCAACCTTCTCCTCCCTCCTCTGGCAAACCCAGCAGCACTCAGCATACCCAGAAGGATCACAGCACCCCTGAGGGCGGAGAAGGCAACCAGGAGTTTGGGTACCTGGTGGGGATCCGGTTTGGGGACAAGCAGATATTTAGGTCCCAGCAAGCTAAGCTTTACATGTCCTGCACAGGGAGACACGTCAGCTGGCGACTCTGTGGGGAAAATCACGTCTGGTGAGCTCTTAAAACTTCCAAAATTCTCACCAGCCATGAAGGGCTGAGGCTTCTTCAAGACTAAGAGGTCCTTGGTGGGTGTGGGAAGCTGGAGGAGCAGCCACTGGGATTAGGTGGATTACCCACGGTGAAATGGTCCCTCCTCACGGTTGGAGGAGGATTAAGTCCACTGCAATGGGATAGTCCAGGTCCACAGGATAGGATCTAGAGAGCCAAACACGCTGTCTCCAGAACACAGGCATCCCCAGAAGGATTGGGAATGACAATGTGCCAGTGTCAAAGCAGATCCCACCATGGACATCACCCCCAGCCATGCTCACCCCATGTCCTTCAGAAAGGTGTTTCTGCCCCAAAGACCCCAAACCGGAGGTCAGCCAAGGACACACAGCCTGGTCCTGCTCCGGGGCCATCCACAAGCATCAACGCACTCCAACTCATTTTCCTTCTGCTCCAGAGGCCACGGAGAGTAAGAAGGTCAGCAAATTTCATGCCACCCTTCATTCTTCTGGGGTGTGGTTTTTTTATCCTCTCCTCCTTTCTTTCTTGCGTCCCCTCTTCCCTGCCTAAGAGCAGGAAAACTCCGCCTGTGTGCTGGCAAGGGACAAATGTCTCACCAGATATTGTCAGCCCTACTCAGAAAACTCCAAGGCGGGAGAGCTGATGAAGACAGGCATGAGAGCTCTCAAAAGCACTTGGAAGGAGGAGACTGCAGCCCAGGGGAGGACGGAAAAAGTACAGGCTGGGATGTGCAGCATCTGGGTTTGGATTGCACCCGGGTTTGGATTGCACCCTGCACCTCGGATGGAGGATCATGGATGGCCAGCAGAGCCTGGGGAAGCCCTGATGAGGTGTGACACCCACCAGCGTGGCACAGCATCAGTGACACCTCTCTGAGTGTTCCTGCACATCCAAAGGAACGGCCTGGGACAGAGGGTGAGCCATTGGTGTGTCCCCAGGGACCATGGCCATTCAAGCTATGCAGTCAAAACAAGCAAATTAAAGTCCCTCACTAATCCATCCCCATGCCCTGGAAGGGAGATTTGGGGAAAATCCCAAAATTTTCCTGAGGCAACCCCAGAAAATCCTGTTTTCCAGGTGAGGAAACGGAG